ATTGAATATGGAATTGATGATGACACCCTATTGATCCAAAGACTAGCCGCTTTAGACGGTATAGTAAAAAGGAAATTTCATGTACCGACGTTTTCTGAGCAATGGGAGCCCAATTTACCTGCTAATGTCACATTGCCGTCGCAAATACACCGGCACTCAAAAATAATAAAAGGCTCTGAGACAGAGCCTTTTTTTATATATTCCCATGTATATTTACCCTCTGAACACAAGTTAAAATTGCTTCTTCATCCTCTATTCTCTTTAAATCACAGAAATTTTTTATTGAACGCTTCGGTGCAAACTTATCGAACGATTCAAGAACGGCTGAGGAAAAAATGCGCTCAAGGGTTTGAACTGTGGGTGAAGGAATATTAGAGGAAGAAATAGAGTTGCATTGTAGAGACAGCTTTGGTATAATCAGTTTGTTCAGGGCAGTGTTTTTGACTCTATACAGTTATCCTGAGAAAAATATCTTTAGTGTTTCACAGAGAACTGAGAAAGTAATGAAAAGTTCTATTAGGTCATGTAATGGAGCGAAAGGGGAGAGAGATTGTGAAAAATTTTGTATAGATATAGTGTAGTTTACTATGAAGAGGTCGAGAGTAGTATGAGTGACGGAGCTGTTGTCTGCAATAAGATGACGTGTTGGTTCAAAGGAGACTACTTTGAAGGCGTTTATGTCGATCAGGTCACGCAGTGAGCGAGCTTGCGGAAATTTAGCAATGATGTGGGAATTAAAATCTCCAGTAATAACTATATCGATGTATAATGGAAGGAAAGAAGTAGTGGATTCAAAAGAAAATGTTGGAATATTAGCAGTGGGATGACGATAAACCACTTTAAATTAAAGTTTACAATCACGATATTTTATTTTTGTTATCAAAAATTCCGGGGTATTATCAAAGTCCAGATCTGAAGTTGCAAGAATTTTCACTATCAGTTGATCACGGACATAAAAGCATACCACCACTCTGCTTACCTTCACACGCGATCTAGTCGAAAAAATTTGTAATTTTGAAGGGCGAGGTAAGAGTTGGAAATATTTTTAAGTAAAGTTTCGGTGACGGCTATGAGACCGTAGATTTTAATGAGGGTCTGGGCTTCGAGTATAGCAAAATGTGATGTATTGTTTAGTCCATTTATGTTAATGTATACTATTGAAAGTGTGAGTTTTTGGGGTTCTGGTATTTGTATAGCGTTTACTGGTTTCAGTCATAGTAAAAAGCCGGATATTTGCTGAGATAGGTACGTTGTTGAAATTTGATTGCGGGAGCTGTTGGATGAAGGTTGATTGTGTTAGAGTTATTCCGGTAAATTGGCGGTATCGGAGGATAATGAAGTTGAGCCTGTTCGGGTGATCGGAAGGAAGTCCGGGCAGTAATAGGCAAGAACTTATAAAGGTCGGTTTTAGTGACAATAGGGATAAGCTCAGAGCATGTTGTTTGCCTAAAAAAATCCTGGTATTTTTAACAAGTAACCAGGAATAGGTAAGATCAGTGCTCACCTTCGTAGATTTTACGAGTAGGTCAAACACTGGTTTAGGCAATATGGGTCAGACACAAACACATATGTTTCCACCACATCCGAAGATATCCTGAGCAGTATAATCTTTTAAATGGTTCAAGAAACCTATGATGCGTTCTCTGATGAATGGCGACTCAACTAAGAAGGCAAATGAGCTAAAAGCAGGACGGTCTTGTAATTGCGAGTGCGATTGGTTGTGCTGGTATTGAGAATAAATTTGAGCAAGATTAGAGTGCTACTGTTGCTGTAACTTTAATTGGTTCCATTTATGGGTGTGGATGATTGGTGGCAAATCATGATCACCTCCGAATCCTAAAGTTCTAAGAACACCGATAGTAGCCTGATAGAGTGTGCCATTTTTATCCATGTGTAGGCTATACAGCAGGAGCTCCGGTTCATCGGTGATAGCAAAATGAGAATCTCGTGCATGAGTATCGACCACAATATGTGCCATGAATCCACGAATTTCTTTATATCTTTGCGCACTTAAATGAGTTTCTGCGTAGAAGTAAGCCAGTGCGTCATTCACATGATCATTTTCTTGATGCATAGTAGATAATGAGATTGAATTAGAAATTAATTGTGGATTCTGTGGTTATAGGTGCTGAGGTATAGAAAGCTCTGCAAACTTAGGTGACGGATGAACCAAGGTTAAACAAAGTTGCTTAGCAGTCGGGAGTAGGATGGTGACGTAGGAGAGACCAATTGCTTCTTGGCTAACTGAAGGAAATTCTGGATATGATTAGTGGACGTGGCAAACAATAATGATGTGTGATTGGCAGCAGGAGTGGCCTTGTTCGGAGTGAAATATTTGTGACAGCGGAAATCTAATTGATTATGGTGTTGTAACGAAAGCTCGTTCGTTAACCGTTACCACACATTAACAAACCGTATAATGATATGAACTCTTATAATCCACTTTTACAAATCTTAGCCTAATGAACACAACGGTGTTGCTAATACGTCTTAACACTATAGAACACAACGATGTTCTTAACACCTATTACAATAGAGAACAAAGAACAAATTAACTAACTTATCATGCTTACAAATCTAAACTATATACAGCACGCATCATCCGGCAGATGACCGCCTTGATGACGAACCGTCTTAGCCTACTTAATTAAAAGAGAAAGCCGCCCGGCGAGGGATCACCTGGACGATTTTCTATTTGAACAATTTATGACGCCGACCGTAATTAGGGCAGGTAGCCGGCGTGTGCACGCCTTGCTACCTACCTGACGCCTACAATTACGTGCTGTGCCATACCGCTGAAGAGAGAGAGAGAGAGAGAGAGAGAGAGAGAGAAAGATTAGTTTGCGAGACTTGACCTTCAATACAGGAACGGGAGGCCTGGCTGCCCCCTGCATACCATGTTGCTGGCCGTCGCTGGGCCACTCCTACCGGCTTCTTCGGGTAGCGTCCCGAGCAGATGCTGGAACAAGGCAGTCGTCCTCTTTCTTCTCGGTCTTCCTCGGCTCCTTGGTGGCGTGTGCGTTTGGCTGACCCTTTGTCCTCAACTGCACTTTCGACTCTTCACCGCTGACCGTCTAAACCATCTTAATGGAAACCTTCTGACTGACTGCTCGACTCACTATTGTCTGTGTCACTCGTTTTTTCTTTCGCGATCGACAGATTCTTCCTCGTTCTTCGTCTCCCCACTTGACTTACTTATTAGGCGGCTCGCGACCAATGCGCTAATTGGTTCGCGACGCGCGACTGCCTAATCCTGCGTGGGGCACGCACGCCCGTAACTCTCTCTCTCTCTTTATAATACCTCTATACTCTATCGTCAGTGTAATAGCTTCGGGCCGGCTCGGCCTCGCTCGGCAATCTCCGTCGGCTGAAACCATGACCATGCATTAGGCGCATTCTTAAATGCGCCTAACGCTGGTCACCGTGCTTTGCCGAGAGAGAGGGGGAATTGGAGAAAATACCGACGAGAACAAGCGCAACGCGTGTTCTCGGCACAAACTTAATATAATTTGCAAGTAAATATTGCTAGTAGTTTTGCAACAAATAAATATGATGGAAATTCGAATTCACATCAGTATCCTAGTATCTTAAGAAAAAGAAACAAGAATTTGACACTTTGATAACTGATTTTTAACTGAGTTATCAATAAATAAAAAATGTATAATTTATTTAAACATTTAATGTGTTGCGAGATAGCGATCCAGCTATACATACATATAAAATTACTGATAACGATTGTTATCCGTTTGTTGATTTTATAATGGTTAAAAGAGTAATTTACAAATTCATTATTTGATTATTATTCAAAGACGGTTTGTTAATTTGGTGGTTTTTATTTTGAATAATGTATAATTCGCTCTCATCACAAATTTTTCGCTTAAACACGAGTGATTTTTTGATGTAAGAATTTTCCATAAATTTATTCTAAATTTCGTGTTATTCACTTATCTAACTTTAATCACTTGTAATTTTAAAAGGCAATTTTTTCTTGAAAAGCGATTTATATTTAAAAATTCGTTATCTTCGACTTGATTTCTTAAGTCACTGATTTTTAATTTCGAGCGAGCCATTTTGCGACAAAATCTGTGCAAAGTCTAAGCGATTATCAAAAATAGCGTCATAGGGGTTACCAAGCGTAAAAAGGAGCTGTTTTTGCAAGTATAAATTCGCTCGTCGCTGCGGCAAGAGGATTTTGCAATCCTGCCTTGCTTAACGGCGCGAGCACTGTTTGAAATAAAGGCTCAGCTATTTCCAGAGATCGAATTTCATTATTCAGTGGTTAGTCTGCTATTCCTTTCCTATATGATAATCTAATCGCTCAACTCATAAGACTCTCTCTCTCTTATGAGAAAAAAGCAGTCTTAGATTATTTCCTCTTTCTTTTGCCTAGAATTAATATTGCCTAGAAATTGAACTGCGTATTCGTTGCGGCACTGTCAGGCTTTTCCTCGATAGATACAACAGTACTTAGTTGTATTTCAAACGGCCTATCGAAGCAGCGAACTATGTGGGTAACACTATGTTCGCTATTCGATGGTCATAACAATATCAAAACACAAAGTACTTTTAAGTGTCAACTTCTTGCTTACTCTCGGATACGTGATTATCAATATATCTTAGATTACGAACTATTTATTTAAATAACGTAGGATAAGAATCAAACATTACAGAAGGTATGTGCAAAACTTAAAAAATCCAGGACTCACATACATGAATGTCCCTTTTTTAGTAGTGAATTGAAAACGTTTTATGGAGTTTTATTTTTTGATATCGTCCTAATTTCACGCTATATTTTTTTAAAGTATGAGCTGTTAAATATTACGTTGCACATTGTATAATAATTATGAGTTTCAATTTATACGAAATCGTTTTGAATAATGTTTTTGTTATGGTATATAATAAACATTAACGATGACCTTGTTACCATATATGGTGATGATGAATTTTTAATTGCGTGTTTTTTTAGTTAGAATTTTTTACGTATTATGTTATTTATGTAGGTGGTGTATTTTTTGCAAACAAGATGCGCCAACAAGGTTACATAACTATGCTGGATCCTCTGCAGGATGCATTTGGTGAACGTATGGGCGGACTACTTTTTCTACCAGCTCTATGCGGTGAGGTATTTTGGGCAGCTGGCATTCTTGCAGCACTCGGTGCTACCCTTGCCGTAATTATCGATATGGACCAGGGTACATCGGTAATACTCAGTGCCTGTATTGCCGTCTTCTATACGCTTTTTGGCGGTCTTTATTCAGTTGCCTACACCGACGTCATTCAACTGTTCTGCATCTTTATTGGACTAGTGAGTTACTTAGATTTTTAGTTTATTCACTGTTATTCATCAATTTATTAAATATAAATATCAATATAGATAATATAGCTTTATATCGACAGCCCTTCAAAATATAAATTCTTTTCTCTATGTATAGACGAACTTATTTTTAATCTGGAGGATTATTTAGAGTGATTAAATTACAAAGTCCCGATTATATTATAGAAAGTCGATAATTATTAATTGTTATATAATTTTTATATTAATTGTTATAACGTTATCCCAAACGTTCATCAAATTTATATTGGATAAATTTTGACAATACTTTCACGTGAAACAATACCAAATTTAGTAAAAGAATAAAAAATAAAAAACTTCTAAATTATGGTACGAGTACTCATCCTTTAATATTTACGAAATACATTTTACTTCGTGTTAATTTATGAATCTCTTTTCTTATGTTCCATTTTTCTAGTTTTTACTTGACAATATTAATCATATTTAATAATATTGAATATTAATAGATTATAATGAGTGAATATTTCCTCGTTATGTCTTTCTCTCCTCAGACCCATACACATTTATATACAATATAGTTAGTTTATTTATTTACAACTTATATGTTACATTTGGTTTACATTTCTTATATTACTATTTGTGTCTCGTATCTAGTTTGTGTAGTTGATTATGTATGTGTTTTGTGTGTGTGTGTGTGTGAGTGCGCGCGTGCGTGTGTGTGTATGTGTTGTGTAAATATGTGCCTTTGTAGGTATGTCTGCAACTCTTGTGTCCCTGTCTTCTGCGCCTGCCTGTTCCTCTTTTCTTCTCATTTTTCTTCTGATTAATCTTCTCTTCCTCTTTCTCTCTCCAAGATCTGCCTTTTCCGCTCTTCTGTTTTTTTTCCCTTTCTTGCATGTTTTCTTTTCAGCTTTTCCTTTATTACTTTCTTTTGCCTTTTCACCTTTGTCTTTCCTTTGCTTTTGCTCTCCTTCTTGCTAATCATTTCATCTATCTTTCTCCTTATTAAGGCTTTGACACCTTTTTCTTGTTTCCTATTGCTCCCTCTGCCTTTCCTTCCCTCAACCTCACTTATTTTTCCTTAGTATCTTATGATTTGCCTTCTAGTTTACCTTTTTCTTTCTCTTCTTCGATTCTTCTTCTTTTCCATTTTGCTCCATCCTCCAATACCTACTTCCTCTTGCTTGTGTAGTTGCTGTTACTTGTGTCTTGTGTGTGTGTGTGCATGTGTATGTTTATGTTTGCGCGTATGTTTGTGTTTTGTGTGTATGTGTGTGTATGTATGTGTGTGTAGATGTATCTGCGAGTCTTGCTTCTCTGTCTTCTGTTTCCGTCTTTCCTTAGGGTCTTGTAGCTTCGTCTTCTTGCTTTTCTTTTTCTTTCTTCACTTCATTTCTTCTTCTTTTCCATTTTATCTCCATCATCCACGCTATCTTTTCTTTGCTTCCTATTATTATTTTTTCCCATTCTTCCCCTTCCTTTCTGCTTTTTTCTATATACAATATATATGTATCACATACACAAATATATGATGTTTCTTTCAGTAGTTCAAGAGGTAAGTGCAAGAGAGCGCAAGAATACACGCGCCAATTTTAGTTCAATTAGAAAGAGAGAGAGAGAGAGAGAGAGAAAGAGAGCGTGCGACAACTCATTTACGCGACTCCGAAGCACCGCTTAGTTAGGCACGCGGCATAATGAAATAAGTGGGAGGAGAGCCCTTCGGCGTACTACTGACGGCATTCAGAGCGACACGTCTGAGCCCTCAGCACTTTTCTTTTTTTGTCTTGTTTTGCTATCCGTACTTGTTCTTTTATAAACTATTACGATTTGATTGTCTTCGCATCGAGTGCATTGTTCTTGCGATCCCGTGTGTAGTGCGGTGACTTTGACAGTGCCCACGTGTGGACAGAGTGACTTAAGGTGCGTTCTGGCGAGCCGGCATTGTTTGTTGCCGCCCGTCTTCTCTTGCACCTGTACCTGCGACGACGTGTTCGCGCTATACCTATAGAGAGAGACGGCTACGACAGCCCCAGCGAACACGCCTCTTATATGTAAGTGCTAGCCCGACTTATCTCTCTCTCTCTTTTCCGCTTGCGCACCTTCTTTCTCGCACCTACGCTGCGTGTAATCTTTCTTTTGTTCTTTATATATAAAGCTATTATATTACAATTTTGTGCTTCATTTACTTGTGCCCGATCCTCCGCACTCCTAGTGCTTTTCTATTGCTTAGCCGTTTTTATATTTCGCGTTTTCAGCCACGACGAATCGACGCACGACGCCTCCACGGGCCCATCGGTAAGAAAGCCGTGTAAGAGACATTTCTGCAGCTACCAGGTTGGGTTTCGCTTCACTCTAGCGGCCCGCTCCATGCTACTTCATCATCCATTGGACACTTAACTTTATAACGAGTTTGACGGCAACTCGTTATGTCCCTCTGTCTATATGACCATAATATTAAGAATATCATATATTTATAATGTTACATTATTTGAATTATATTTCTCCTTAGCAGCAGCAGACGATGACTGCGGAGAAGGTAAGAGAGAGAGCGCCGGTAGAGAGAGACCGCGTGCGCGTGTAGGCATAGCGATATGTATGACGAGCCGCGCGCCGCGTGACGAAGGGCCGGCAATTAGCCGATAGCTCGCGAGCCGTGCAGAGGCATTCGGTTGTGCGTACGCTTGTATTGGTTTTCTATTGGTTTTCTTTGTGAATCGCCTCGTTGCAAGAGAGTGACTTTTAACTGTGACAAGTGAGAGAGGTGCAACTGTGCGTGCAATACCTCCTCCGCCTTCGCGACTAGCGACTATACTGTTAGGCGAATTCCGCAATTGTGCCGAGGTGTAATCGAAGGGTTTCGATTAAGTACCGACCGTTCCTTGGATCTCTCTCTCGCTTTGCCTATCTCACCGCTCTCTCTGAACCACCCTGTACACTGACTCGTACACGAACTATATATATTTGTATACTGCTAAAACTGCATGGCTTTTCTTTTGAACTACCCTTTCCTTCCTATCGCTTCCCTCAACTTTCGCGATTTAAGCTGTGTGACCCACGACGCTCTCCGCGGGCTAGTTGGCGATCTGACCTACCGGGCCGGTCTTGCGCAGCAGAAAACGCAGTGCCGCGAAGAGTTGCATTTGTGCACGCTACTACTCAATCTCGGTTTAATTAATATATTGTAGCGGTCTAAATCCTCGTTACAACTTAAATTAATTATAGCGGGGTAATGCACCGCCCAATTCCCCTCCCCGTTATAAGATAATGCCATAATACTTTATTTGATACAGAATAATTGTAATAATGTTTCTTTATTAGTGAATGTTTTCATAGCTCTGGCTGAATTGCATATATAGTGTCGGCCAATAATTCTGAACAGGTAATAATTTTTTGCTCCGACTTTGAGCAAGCGTAGGTCCTTCAATTTTTAGTCTAAAAAAATTCTGAGCCAGTCATTTTGAAATTCTCTCCAAAAGCGTTCTTTCTGGCTTCCTTGATTTTTCTCAGGAATGTTTTTACGAATATTAAAACGAGTAAAAAACTTCAGATATTGTTGCACTTTTTCATTTTTGTTTAATCGGCTATAGTTTTTTCAAAATCAGAGATAGAATAATTCTGAAAAAAGGTTATGAAAGGGTTTAAAAAGTGCTATTTCAAATTTCTTTTCAATAAATTATTTCGTCAGTTTATAACAATGTTTTGAGCTCGTAAATTTGCCGATTTTATACTTGTGTGATGAAAAAATTTAGAAAGCAAGTAAAAAATAACCGAAATTAATGTTAGTTAATTTAAATAGTTTTCATTATTATCCCTCACAAAAATTTGAAAATTTGTTCACACACATGAACACACACCTACCTGATGTAAAGCATTTCCAGTATATGAAATGTGTACACCAATGTATTGTGACGGTAAACGTCCGGTTTGCGCTACCGTCTGGATCACATGTCTGCCTGCGAGGGGAGCACCTATCGGTCCGGGTAAGTTGAAAATGGGAACTCGGTTCGAAATGGGAAGGAACGCGCGTGAAGCAAAAAGGACCAGTGGGAGAGCGCCTCTGACACCGGTAACAACGTGCAGGAGTCCAAGAGCACTAACGCGAGAGTTGAGCAGTTACCTGAAATTCGCGAATAGCGTGTCCGAACCTAGAAGTGCCTCTAGCACCGGAAACGACGTGCGTGTGTGTGAACGCCACAAGGAGCGTGAACGTTAGACGGCCTATAATCCTTTGTTGTTGCTGTGAGTTCGAGTGGCTAGTCGAGACGCCATCGGAGGCCAGCCACGAGGTTGCTGAATCCGTCCGACAGAAGCAGCGCGACGACAAAAAGAGGCCTCGTCTTCAAATTGGAAAAGTGGTAACCTGAGCCACACGCTAAAAGACGACGTAGAACTGCTCCCCTTGACAGCGCGACTAATCACATAAGGTAAGCTGGCCAGCTTCACGTTATTGTTTTCGATAAGTGACCGCTCGTAACATCTTTGCTTTCCCCTCACACCTGCGAATACCAGAAAATCGATAGCGAGCGAGCATGCAAGCGAATAACTCGATCGAACGATTATAAATGAAATGACGGTATGTAAGATTGTCGTGCACACCGTATAAGCGTAAATGCGCGGGCCAAATGTGTTGTAGATTATAGGATAAATAAACTCGTCTGTGCATGATTGAAACGTTAATCTATTGTTGTCTTTGCTATTAGTATGTTGGTTGACTAATACCCGTCCTCTCCTGTTCTTCGGTTAGTTAACAAAATTGATTACTTCGATCTCGTCGCGCGCATCGGGCGAGGCAAAGAAATTAAAACGGACTTACACCCCGTTACAGTATACATCAATTTCCAAGTCGTGCAACCCTTAAAATCTTCAGTCATTAATGCCATTTATATTTGGAATCATGTAATATATCAATGCATGGAAAACAACAGTAGCATTTATTAACGTACGATAACTTAGCTGTGGACTATTGAGGAGAAGTTGCAATTAGCACACTAACAAGAAAGTTATCCCAGGAG